TCAACTCCCGGACGAAGAGGTCAAAATACAGGAATTCTTAGAGTCTCCGTTTCAAATGAGCCTTCCACTCAAGCCCTTTAGAATTAAAGAAGTAGAAGAAGAAATCAAAAAGATCAACACAAAGAAATCTCCAGGATACGACCTGATTGCTGGGACAGTTATCAAGCAACTACCAACTAAAGCTATACAAGCCCTTACACATCTCTACAATTCTATCCTCAGAATCCGGCACTTCCCAAGTCAATGGAAGACAGCGCAAATAATTATGGTTTTGAAACCTGGTAAATCACCTACGGAACTTACATCATACAGGCCCATAAGCCTACTACCCATTCTGTCCAAGGTACTTGAAAAACTGATTCTGAATAGATTAATGCCAATTCTAGACGAACAAGAACTAATTCCTAAACATCAATTCGGGTTCCGTAAACAACATGGTACCGTGGAGCAGGTACACAGAATAACCGACAAGATTTACAGAGACTTGGAGGGAAAAAGATACTGCTCTGCAGTGTTCTTGGATGTCAAACAAGCCTTTGATAGAGTTTGGCATCAAGGTTTATGCTATAAGCTCAAACTGTTCCTACCCTACCAGATGTTTGAACTACTAAAATCATACATCACAAACAGGCACTTTTTAATCAAATACAAAGATGAAAATACAAATTTACACCCCATCTCCTCCGGCGTACCGCAAGGCAGCGCTTTAGGCCCTATCCTATATTTAATATACACCGCTGACCTACCCACATCACGTCTAACAACATCAGCGACCTATGCAGACGATATGGCCATTTTGGCCTCTCATGTCAATCCACAAGCTGCCTCAAGATATCTCCAAGCTCACCTCAACAAAATACAGTGGTGGGCCAAAAAATGGCGTATCAGAGTGAACGAAACTAAATCCCAACATGTAACCTACACAATGAGGAAAGAAAATTGCCCTCCAGTGAACTTCAACGGACACCAACTACCACACTCAGAGACGGTCAAATATCTGGGTCTACATATAGATAGGAAACTCACCTGGAGAACCCACATATTTACCAAGCGTAAGCAACTCGGCCTTCAACTACAAAAATTATATTGGCTTATCGGTAGAAAATCTAAACTATCATTGGAAAATAAAATACTAATTTACAAAATAGTTCTTAAACCAATATGGACTTACGGGATATCCCTATGGGGCACTGCAGCTACTTCCACCCTAGCAATGCTTGACCGGTTCCAAAATAAAGTACTGAGAATGATCGTTGATGCGCCATGGTACGTCCCAAATAAGGTGATTTTAAGTGATCTACAAATTCCCACAGTGAAAAGTGAAATTAAAAACTTCAGTGTAAGATACAAAGACAGACTGAGCGTTCCCCCCAACGATTCTGTGCACCAGCTTATGGACAATAATGATGAACCCAGAAGACTTAAACGTTTCAAACCATCTGACTTACCTACAAGATTTTAACATAAACTGTAAACTGCTTTTGTCAAATACTATACCTATATTATCTTCATAGCATACATCACATATTAAAAATGTAAGGGGAGACTTCGATGGAATTCTGCCCCACATGTCATTTTTTAATAATTAATTCAATCCTATTAAATACTTATTGCTAAATAAGCTATGGCAGATTGTATAATTAAAAAGAAAAAAAAAAAAAAAAAAAAAAAAAAAAAAAAAACTTACATACTGTAAATTTTCAAGTTTATTCCCATTAGGTACTTTGTAGTAACCTTGTTTACTTCAATCAACTACAATCGTTGAAGATGTTCTCTGTACATTTAATTAATTGGAAGCATCCGACTTACTAATTATCTATTCATTGAGTTTAAGTTCCACTCAGGAAAGTGAGATTTTTGTATAAATTTCTAACTTAGAATTTCGATATTATCAAGCGTAGGTAGGTACTTATACCCCGTTTTTTTAACTAGTAAACATAAAAGTCTGATTCACACTGAAAATGTCAAATGTCACTAGAATTTAGTAACAAAATGGGCTTAATGGTAATTTGGATTAATTTCATACTGATATGTTAGGTGCATGATGTGCTTGTCTACTTACACATTTATCACACATTTATGACAGTGTAATTTTTCTTCGCGTTGTTAGGAAATAGAAAGAAGAACTCGGGAAGAAGTCGGGACTATAAGGTGGATGGTCCAATAACGTTACCTTTGACTGCTCCAAAAAACGCATTGGTTGCAGTGCTGAGTGGGAAGATGCATTGTTGTGATGCAAGACAATATTGGTTCTTGGGACGCATGGAGCGAGCTGTTTCGAGACCTATACTGCATTCATTATAAGAAGGTAGTAGATGGCGCTGTGTTTGAAGATAAACACACACAGGAAAAATATAAAATGGCACCAAATTATTGTCAAGTAGAAATATTCAGCACTGCGAACAAAAATAAACCTTTGACAATAACAGCTAATGACACTTCGGCAGTTTAGTTGGCAACATAAACTACCACCTTACAAAATTCACTAGTCGTTTTATGTTTTATTGTAATACTGACTCATGTTTTAACCAATCACAGTGATGGTCGAAGCTTCCCTATGATTTCTACCGCTACCTTCTTAAAATGAATACAGTATAGAGACAAACAAATTGTCATGTACCTACCGTTGAGCATTATCTGAATTTGATCCTCTAGGTCTAGAAAAATCCATGTATAATACAAGCAGACGTAGGACGCGCAGTGCCTAATTGGATTCTTAGGAGAACTGTTTTAATACGCCTAGAAAACGCGATAATTCTAAAAAAAGTACGACGAATTACGATGAGGGACGCGATTCAACTTGAAATGTGAAGCTTTAATTTTCACCAATTTAAACGGGTGCGGCGCGAGCCAATAGACAAAAAGGTTTTTGCGGTATCTCTGATCGAAATGTTTATGGCACGATGCTTTCAAACAAAATGGACGTGCGAAGAATCGCACTGCGCATGCGAAATACACAACTTTCTTAAATGGGGTCATCAAACCTTTTGGTAACAAAATTTAGATTCGTGACAAACTTCTCTAAATGGAACTATGATACTTCAAATTACTCGTGCGTTATCACAAAATTAAAACGTAGGCTCAGCGAAGAATTCCAGAGTGATATTACGATGGACCATTTTTTTACGTCTAACAACAGCGTCAATTTTTCAGGTAAAAATTCGGAATATTGCATTTTACCTTTGTCGATGCTATAG